AGGACAGTGGGTTAGCTCTTCGTATTCATTCCTAAACAAGATGCAATCATTATGGCAAGTATGTATCTTTTTATAACTCAGGCCAACTGTGTGTAAAACCTTCTTTGCATCATATAGCTAAATTGAAAGCTTGATATTCTTTGGTAACATTAGTCTGATCAGAGAGAGCAAGCTTGAGAAGTTAGTATCACTCTACCCACTTGTAGCTTTCAAGTTGTACAATTCTAACACAGTGGATAATAAAGTGAACTCAGTACAACCCACATACAAAGGTGTCTCCACATTAATTTTCAACTTCTCCAATTTCTCTGAAAAATTTTTGAGTTCCCCTTCCATCTCATTAGCTAATTCTTCAAAATAGCAGTCAACCTTATATGCACTCGTGTCAGAATCCGGTGATGATGAACAACTTTTCATATATGCCCAGCTACTATTATTCACATCTTCAAGTATCTCTCCATGCTTTACCTAACATTTATAACTTTGATCAATTCCATACTTAAACAAGTGAAGTTCACATGTTTCAGGAGAAATTGACTTCACATTACCATAACTTAAACAAGGGTAAACAATTCGCCCGCAGTCTTCTGCATTATTTACCGCAAACTTAATGAAGTATGCCACCCTATCCTAATATTCTTTCGATAGATGGTTAGCAGACATTCACTCCTTATCCATAATTAATGCCCTTGTTTAAGTAAGATAATAAAGATGGAAAAGCATTCAGTGAGTACAAGTTGATTATTTTAAAAACTTAGACAATTTTAGCAGCATAGTGGCTTAAATTCAATGTTCCTCGAGCTTATTCTCTATTTATACTAATTTAATCAAACTAAATGTTAAACTATTTCAAAGAAAGCTCAAACTTGTTCTAAATAATCGCAAAATAAAAATTTAAAAAAATTTTGACAGCATAACGGCGTGAAATTGAGCACTTCCCAGGCTTAATGCCCTCTTTTCACAAATCTAATATTAAAATAACAAAAATTTCAAATTAACATATACATAGATTAATCTCAGGTCAATTTTAGAATAAAATACTACTACAACTAAAAGGTTAAGCAACCATGTAATATAATAACTATAATATATAAAGAAACAAGTCCAGTTTTCAAGTTCAATAGGGGGAAAAAGGAATCAAATAACTAAAAAAATACAATATTTAAGAACAAATTGAAAAGCATTGGGTAAAAGTAACAAGGAACATGTCTAGTAAATCAAGACATATATCTTATTGTTAATAAAAAATTAATTTATCTTAATAAACTAAATAATCACAACCTAGCAGACATTGAACTGAATATTTAATAATCACAAGCTAACCACATATTGAAAAAAAATTAGCTTATCTTAAAAACATGTTTACTAAATTTTGTACAAAACTAAATATCTTAAAAAATTAGTTTATCTTAATGAAAAACATGTTTATTAAATTTTATTCAAGATTGCTCGACCACATATTGAACTAAATTTAAATAATTAAAAGCTAACCAAGCACTCTGATCTTCTCTCTTATCTTTCGTAAAACAAACCACAAGGGGCATGAAACAATAAAATCAATCAACAAAATATCACAATTAAATCTCAATACAACCCAGCAAATTGTCACAAACTCAAACCAATCCAGTCAACTAATCTGAATTCTAAGTTAAAAATCAATGTTATCAACCTCAGAAGCTTCCTCTACACAATGAGATAGCAAATGAGATAGAGAAATACCTTAAAAATTACAAAGCAATAGTGTGAGGTTGCTCTTGATAGAAGAAAGGATGAGATAGTGACAACTTCAGGGGTAGATAGCGGACCAGGAGGATTGAGGGCCGGTCGACGGTGAGAGTGAGAATAAACGTATCTCACCTACTCTTGAGAAGAGAAATAGGAAGAGGAAGACAAAGAGCAAGACGAAGACGAGCTCACGAGGAAGAGGAAGAGGAATAGGGTTTGGTTGAAAATGGATCTTAGAGGAAGAGGAAAATGGAGGAAATGGGTGGCGGTTGTGACTGATGCACAGAGGAAATGATTGAAAATGGCTCTCTGACTCTCTTTGCTTAAAACTGTACTGATGCTCAGAGGAAATAAGTATTGGCTAGATATGGGTCTTAGAAGAAATGGGTTTGCTCTGCTCTCGTCTTACTCTCACACGCGTCCTTGTGATGGCTGTGCATTTTCACTAACGGAGGGAAGAAGCTTAAGAAATCAATATATTCAACAGTTAGATATTTCTAATCGTTGAATATATTATTATACCCAATGGTTGAATGTCAAATCCATTGAGTATTAATATCAAATACTCAACGGTTATTTGACATAACCGTTGAGTAATAATATATAATATATATTCAAATAATATAATATATATATATATATATTATTTTGCTAAAAAAATAAATTTGAATAATATATATAATATATTGTTTTGCCATATATACATACATACATACATACATATATATATATATATATATATTTAATGTTTAAATCCAAATAAATGTTGAGTATCAAGATATTAAAAAAATAAAAATTAATTGACTCAAATAGTATATATATTCAACAGTTTATTTTTAATAACTGTTTAGTATTGATTAATACTCAATAGTTTTTAAATTTTAACTGTTGAGTAAGAGGTGAAGTGTAATATGCTTATATACTCAACGGTTATATTAATAAACCGTTGAATATTATCACGCAATATTAAACAGTTTTTTAAATAACTGTTTAATGTGTAATTTTCTCTTTCCCATCTCCCAATATATAACATTTTTAGTTATAACTGTTGAATAAATATTGTTATATAAGAGACATGTGTAGATATCTGAAATTTTTTAGCAAATTATATAAATATTTCCTATAATTTCCATTGAATTTTGTTAAACTCAAAAAGTAGATATTGCAATGACCAATCTACCTTGAATTTTTGTTTTTATTTTGGAAATTACACATAATTTTCTTATATATTTAAGGGAGATTCGTGTATACTTTGAAAATATTTGAATTAATTTAATCTTTATTGAGTAAGATTTAAAAACAGAAGGAATGTATGCATAGCGTCAAGAAACTTCAAGTAAACTTTTGCTCGAATTTTTAAAATAAGGGGAAAGGCCTATGTAATTTCAGTAAAAACATTATTTTTATTCACCTAAAACTTTAGTTAGCATATTTGCATGTGCATTAATTTATTAAATTTGCATTGATCAAATCACTTTAACATTTCCATCACGAAAACAAAACGCCGATGTCACTTCACAATCATACAGCCAGTTGATTGGACTCTTGCACGTTCATGTACACACTCCCCTAAACAGCTCCACAACTGTACGGACTCATCCAAAAAACTCTCACGCACAATTTTGAATGGTCAGTGTTATGCCATAATCCCTGGCAAGGGGGTTGAATTTTCGTCCACAAGGAGAAAATTCACAAAATAATAATAAAGAGTTAAATAATAATTTGACTCCCACACTGTAAATTTAATAATATTTGTGGCTTTAAACTTTTCTTCCGGTGTAATATTTTTATAATATATTTTAACTTTTTAAAATGGTACAATATAACCTATATTTTTACCAAATTAAATGTTGACTTTAAATGTTAGTTGGTCAAAAAATTATAAAAAATATCTAAAAAATTACATAAAAAAACACATGTTCTTTTCTTGTAATTTTTGAATTCTTATTTATAATTTTTAGTTTTTTTTATAATTTTTTATTACTTGTATATATTTATGAGATTATTTTCTATAATTTTTTTAGTCAAAATAAACTTTCTTTAAGTAAAAGTCATATTACATCATTGTAAAAAGTTGAAAAAAAAAAAAAACATTACTCCAAAAGCAAGTTTGGGATCCCAAAAACTTATATGAATTTATAGTTTAGAAATTAATTTTTAATTTAACCCTAATAATAATAATAATAAGTATTTACTTTTTCCTCAAGTATCATGGACTGATCAACTTCACAGAGTTTCCTCTAAAAAAGCATGAACACGGTTATCTGATTACGACGGTCCTGTGCTGAATAGTTAAGTTTTCATGAAAAGATTTTTTCAGAAACAACACCACAAAGGAAATGACATTTTGTTTTTTAACAGCACGATCTTGATCCAATGACTATGATTGCCCACCATCCTTTGTATTGTTAATGTCTACTCGTGTGCTTCACAAAAATCCTTGGAAAATCAACATCGAATTTTTTTGCGAATAGTTTAATTTACTTAAGGATGGATTTTTCTTAAACAAATTGAAAACTTATGGAACATTAATAAGGAGCAATAATATCATCAAGAATAGGGAGAAAAAAAATTCTTCTCATAGCCCAGTGTTTTTTCAGGCATCCAATTATGGCAAATCGAGTGGTCAGAAATAAATAAGATCACATGTGTTAATTATATGAGTATCAATTAACCACTACTATAATCGATGTCATCGAATGGTTCTTTGACCGTGCAAATTTTCGTAATCGGTGATGCAAAAATGGAAAAGAAAGTAATCATTTTGAAAATCAAAGAGCATCCGGGCTTGATTGGTGAAAGGTTTTGCATCGAGGCTAAATTCCAGATAATCCAATCATATTATTTTGGTTGATGTGATTAACAGAAAGCTATGTATTTATCTCTTTCTCCTTTAAAGTTAATCTCTCGTCCCATGTCATATTATTGGACAAGAAACGATGGAGATTATTAATTTCAAAATTAAAGTTCCTTAACTTCTTTCTCTTAAAGATTCCAAAAAAAAAAAAACAAATTGCTTCTAATTGCGAATTAATTTCTTCTTTGCAAGTATTAGCCAAAAAATAAACTTGTTTGCAACTATATATGAGAATTCGTGATGAATGCTTATGTAATTAAAATGTTTATTTCTAAATCCGTCTAATATGTAATCCTCCTAAATCTATTCATAAATCACTTCAACATTTTCATCAAAATTAAAAAAAATTAAATTTCATTAATTTTATTTAAAAATTCAATAAATTTTTAACTTTATCTTTATTAAATATCCTTATTCTAAAAATATAATATTCTCAATTTGTGCGTATCATCCTTGCTAGGGCACTATGCCAATTTTCTCTATATAATTCCAATTTTATCAGATGTCTCTGAGAGGATAAATAAAATATTTTAACATTTAATAATCTTTCTAATATTAAATAGATGTAAAAGAATAAAAATAAATATAATAATTATTAAAGTATCCTTAGAAGAATAGTAGTTATTAGTTAATTGAAACCTTCTTGGATATGGACATTTTATCGTTGCTTGGCTTGTTTTGAAAATAAAGAAGAATATACAAAGAATTAACACTCTAAAACGGATGTGTGTGTGTGTGTAAATATTGGCGTTTGATGTAAAATTTGTATAAATTAAAAAAACAACCGTAGCCTTCTTAAGTAATTAACGCGATTATGGCTGATCTCAAATTCTATTCATTGGACCTACATTTCATTTTACTTTATAATACAAAATTTATATAAAATGGTATTGTTAATAAATTAAAAATAATAATAAAATTTTTAGTCCCATAAATTTATCTTATTTATCAATTAATCTCAAAATTTTATTTTTTCTAATTCAATCTTTTATAATTTTTTAAGTTATTATGTTAATCTTTTAAATTTTAAAATATAAATTAATTTTTTATTTTAATTGATAAAAATTAAAGTAATAGGATTAAAAATTTTATTATTTTAATTATAAATTATTTGTTCAGTCCATGGTGCTAGTATGACGCAAACAATCCGAGCTTTTGAGAGATGTCTGACTTTGAAACCCTAAAAGAAGGAGCGTTGAAAAAGTCAGAAGCAGAAGAGAGAGGGAGGGAGGGAGTATGGTTTCGTAGGATTTACAGTGTGTCAGAGGATGAAACTGTCAGAAGCTTCAGAGTTGAACTTGAAACATCACAAAGCACAGCAGCATGCGAGAGAGAGAGAGAGAGCCAAGTTCTGATTTCTTTTACAAAACTCCATTTATGTTAATATCCACCTTAATGCCTGCGGCCGGCCAATTCATTTTTTCACGGCACGACATAAATGTGCATTGAAACCAAGACTCATGCCATAAGGTCAGGAATAAAGGTCAGTCCACGTGAGTGGCGCGTTTAAATTTAGTTTTAATAAAAAATTGAATTAAAAAATGTACTTTCTTAGGGAAATTGGGCAAGGCTCAGGGCGCTTAAGTTTGAGATGCTTGTTTAGATTTGTTTTTGTTTTACATTTAAAAAATAAAATATTTTTAATTTTAAAATTAAATTTAAACTTTAAAATATATATTTATAATTTAAGGCTTCACATAAGCAAGTCAAGCTGCGCATCACCCTTACCCAATGTACAGTTTGGGCCAACCCGATGCCCAATTATTCGGGTTGAGTTTGGCACAAGTGATTCGAAAATATTTTTACAAGTATTTTTAAAAAAAATATATAAAAAGTTTTCTTTGAAAAAACATCATCATCATCATCAATATATTTTTTTATAAAATTAATATTAAAATCAAAAGAATTTTTTTAATTTCAAATCAACAATAATTGTATACCATTTTTACATAATGATAAACTAAAAATAAATTTTAAATTTTGAAAGAGATTTAAAAAATTATAATGATGAAAATATCTAAAAGATCATAAAAATAATATAATTTATAATAACTTTTAAAAAATCATATAATAAAATAAATATTATTCACAAAAAATTAAAAAATAAAAAATTTTACCCCTGTCTAGTGCTCAGCTTGAAGCACGACCCTATGTGCCTGAATATCTCAAGCAGGGATGGGCTGATCGGCATTCGAGCATAATGCATAGTTCTAGTTTATATTTTAAAAGTAAAATTTTTATTATTTATTTTTAATTTTTAAATATTACAATTTGTATTTTAAAAAATATAAAATATTACAATTAAAAATTTTAATTTTAGAAATGCAAAAAATAAAAAATATAATTAACCTTTCAAGCCCGGTCTTTAAGTCTTCTTAAATAAGAGTTGAACTTTAACAAATGATCAATTTTGCAGTCATTGAGCTTATGACTTGAGATCATATGGGCTTGTTTATTTCTAAACTCTAATTCACATCCTTGGTAATTATAGGGTGTAGATTTTTTTTGTTAAATTCCATCAATATCTTAGAAAATCTGACGTACTGTCACCTTCTGCTCAAATTAATCTGAATCTCTATGTAAAACTGTTATTATCAAGATCTAATGAGTATTTTGAGAATATTTTTAACATATTTATTTAATGTAATTATAGTACATTCCAAGATTCAAATTTAAAATTTTTAGGCAAGCTGATTTAATTCTTTGGATCGGAAAAACAGGAATCCATAGCCTGGCTGACATCAAGACGTAATTTATTGGATTTTGTACGGTTTTGTTCATATAGCTTTTTTTCCCCCAAAAAAAAATGTGCATTGAATTCAACCCTAATAACTGGTTTAGTAACTTTTTGTTTTCCCTAAACACTATTAACAATTTTACCTAAATTAAAGAAGTTAGTTTAATTTAGTTATTTATTATAAATTTTTAAAATTACAGTTAATAGTGATTAAATCAAGTGAAAATATATCTTAACTTTTTTGCTATTCATTCTGTGATAGATTAATTTTTTTTAATTTATAGACTTTTTCTGTTTAAAAATGTAAGGTATTTTTTGAGGAGTTGAATATTAAAAAATATAAGGTATTTTTAATCTTTCGAGATGTAATCATTGTCTTTTTTTTTAAAAGTGCTCTTATTAATAATGATTTTATATTTATTATAAGGTGTTTAATAGAGTAAATATGAAAAAATAGGGTTAGTTTGAAAGTAGATAATTATTTTATTAAAATAAAATTTAATTAAAAATGCTTTATATTTTTGAACGGAGGAGTAACAGTTTTGCCAAGCTTGCTGTGGCTCATCAGTTTTTGTCCTCCTCCAACATATGAAAGAAAAAAGTTCAGCACTTCAGGAGTAAATTGGTAAACTTGCTGTACAATACGAATAATAAAATTTTGTCTTTGAATATTTTTATTATCTATATTTTTAGAAAATTACGATAAGTTTAAATTTGTATTAAAATTATTTATATTCATGTTTGACTCAAGTTTGAAATGGTTGGAGCAATTTATCACACATTTGAACATTAACATTAAAATAATTTGTTAGAAATGTGTTTTTATTGTGGTCAGAAATCTGTTTTTAATTAAATATTTTTAATATGATTTGAAATTAATTTGTTGTAATTATATAGGTCCCAAATAAAAAAAAATGGTTGATCACATTTTCTAACTATTTGTGTACACAAAAGCTTGATATGTAAATATAGGAGTTTAATCTATAAATATGACTAAGAAAATAATTAATTTCCATATTTGATACCTATTTATAATTAGGATAAAAGAGAAAATTAGCTTTTAAATTATAAGTTTAAAAGCATTTGAAATCCTAAACTCATTTTGATATAATATTCTTCTTTAACTTTTAAAAATGATACAATTTAGCCATGCCATTAAGAAAAGTTAACTTTAATAATTAGTTACAAAAAAATGACACAAAATGATCTCAAAAATTACACAAAAGGACCAATAAAAATTTCTTAATCATTTTTTGAAATTTTTATCAGTCCTTATTTGTAATTTTTGGATTATTTACTATAATTTTTTTATTCTGTTTTTAGTAATTTTTGAACTTTTTTCTTTTATTTTTCATCAACTAATAATCAAAATTAATTTTTGTTAATGGTAGATAGTAGAATGTACTATTTTTAAAAGTTGAAAAAAATTATTATATAAAAAATGAGTTTATGATCGCAAACGTTCCTAAACATATAATTTAAGAGTCAATTTGTTCATTTATGCTTTATAATTATCCCAAAACGTTAATAATGCTAGAGAAATTGTTCAGCCTTAAATTCAATAATGATTAAATATAAATTAGTTAGTGAGCTATCGTTAAAACCATACTTTGGAAAGGCACTCAACCACACTCGTGCATTTTGTTGTATACGGAGTGGTGGCTTGGCTCTATGCAATTTCTTGCTCGGTTGGTTCCTCCGCCACATCTTACTATTTTATATTTTGTGTCCCACACGAGACAGTGAGAGAGGGAGTGAGACACTTCACTGTTTTCCTCCAATGGCGGTGCTCTCCATGTGCCTTTTCTTTTTCATCATTTTCTTCCTTCTCATTTTTCTTTTTTATTCACAGCTCCAACATCATCAAGGAAAAAAAAACAAAAAGAATGACAATTAAGAACTTTTTAAAAACATTAATCTTAATTATGGATTGTAAAATTTTAAAATTTTAGTCAAGGACCATGGTCCTTAATTGTGATAAAAAAAATGTAGTTTGTGAGGTGTAATTCATTATTGCCACTTGAAAATTCGCTAACCCAACTTGAGAAAATTGTAATGTATATTGTGAAAATATGAAGCTCCATTTAAAAATTAATTGTTTAACAAAAAGCGCCACTTGAGAATTCACTAACTTAATTTGAAAAAATTTCTAACGTATATTGTGAAAACATGAAACTTTACTTGGAATCAATTGTTTAATAAAAAACATCAATTTGGATAAGTTACTTTTTATTAATAATTCTCAAGTAGGGTTTCATTTTTTCACAATATACATTAAAAATTTTCTTAAGTCTAGTTAATGAATTCCCGAGTGACGCTTTTTTGTTAAACATTCCATTTTCAAGTGGGGTTTTATGTTTTCACAATATATGTTAGTAATTTTTTCAAATTGGGTTAGTGAATTCTCAAGTCGCGTTAGTGAATCCCACCGTACAAATTACATTTTTTTATCACAATTAAAGACCATAATCCTTAATTGAGATTTTAAAATTTCACGATCCATAATTGAGATTAATGTTCTTAAAAGGTCCTTAATTTTCATTCTCCCAAAAAATATTAGGGCAGATGGTAGCTTGGGATTTTTTTATTAAAATAATAGCAGACATATTCTCAAAAGAAAATTGAATATACCAATTAAAGGCAAAGGTTTTTTTATTGACCATAAAAAATCGCTGTAGACCAAAATGAATTTTTTAGTGAAAGAATAAATTCATTACTCAAAAAAAAAAAAAGCAGTTCTAAATTTACAGATGGATTATCCAAGCTGCAAGAAAAGCCTTAAT